TAGCCTCCCAACCGCCCCACAACCACCACAACAACCACCACAACAACCACTCACCGGTTTCTCAGCTCCTCCGGAATAGGTACGAACCGCCGTACCATCTCCCCCGGGGCCCACCCCGCCGCCCCATCTCCGCCCGCCGTCGCCGTCGCCACATGCATTTGCAGGTCCTCGGGGCGCGGCCTGGAGCTAGCCGCCAGGTCAGCTATAGCCGACAGCCCCGCCACCCGCTGTGCTGCTACTGCCGACCGGCACAGCACCATCAGCTCCCCCAGGCTGTAGCCGGGGGCGGCGGAACCCTCGTCGCGGCGGAGCTGGTCGCGTAGGAGGACCTGCGCTAGGTGGGGAATAGGGTGAAAGGGAGGGAGGTCTGGGTCAAAGTATTAACAGCTCGCGTACCGGACATGTCGTACACGGACATCATCCCCCCTTTGACATGCACACTCTCGCTTCACGCACTCCAGAGCCAGTCGACCGCGTGTGTTTGCACGTATGTACGTATGTATGTATATGGTTTACACCTTCTGGAGTTTTGCTACCCTCCAAAGCGGTAACAACGACGGCACATACATACATACATACATGCATACATACATACATACATGCATGCATACATACATACATGTTCCCCCCAGGAGGGGGAAACATTCCAACTGTATTATCTCCTAGCCCCTAGCTCCCACTTCCCTCCCACTTCCCTCCCACCTCCTCCTCCACAAACGCCTCCTCCGGACCCTGGACGTCCACTACTCGCCCGTCCAGATCGAACCGCAGCCGCGCCACTAGTCGCGGATCTGCGGGTGACCCACGGGTCGGCAATGCTGCCGGTGCCGCCGCAGCAGCGGCGCCGCTGCCGGTGCCGCCATTTTCTCCCTTCGCTGCCACCGCAGCCGCCGCCGTCAATCCTCCACCCTCCTCCCTACCCCCTTTTTGCATCTTTTCATACGGCGACATCTCCTGCTGCATCATTTCCGGCTGCTGCCCGTGCTGTTGTTGTTGTTGTTGTTGAGCCGCTGCCAGGAGGTTCCCGATGGGCATCGAGCCCAGAGGGTTCCCGGGCGCGGCCACCGACGCCACCAAGGCTCCTTCTCCTCCTCCTCCTCCACCTCCGCTGGTAAGTGCCCTCAGCGCGCTGTCTATAGCGGCGTTACTGTCCTCCTGCGTCGTACACGACGCCACCATGATGTCCGGAGATACCGCCGCCACCGCCGCCGCCGCCGCCGCTTGGCCTCGTCCTGTTTGTTGCAGCTGGGTTCCTTTTGTGTGGTGGTGGTGCTGCTGCGGCGGCGGCTGTGGGGGCTGCGGTACGACGAGGCCGCCGGCGAGGCGTTGCGCGCCGCGGCGGCGTAGGAAGTCCAGAGCTTCCGGCGCCAAACGGGACGAGAGGTCCTGCAACGCAGCCGCCACCTCCTCAGGCCGCATGCGGGCCACCATCTCCAGGTTCTGCTGGCCGATGGAAGCCAGCTCGCCGCCACCGCCGCCACCGCCGCCACCGCCGCTGCCGCTGGCAGCGGCGCCGCCGCCGCCGCTGGCGCTAGCAAACCTGGTCGTCGTCGGAGCCGCGTTGGTGCTGACGTTGGCGTCAGTGCTTGAGGGCAGTACGGACCAGTCACTGAGAGTGGAGGTTGTGAGGGGAGGGGGGCCGGGCTGGGGAGATCGAGGCTGATGTTGTGGCTCCTCTTGCTTGAGGCCCTCCTGTCGCTGCTGCTGTAGCGGCTGTAGCTGCTGCTCTTTGGCCTTCCGGCTGAGTGCAAACTGCGGGGAAGACAGTGAACATGTGTGCGTGTGGGGACGCACATACATACAGACATACGCACATGGGCGGAGGGGACAGCGTGAGAGAGAGTGTGTGTGTTTTAGTGATCTCTGGGGCCCCCGGGGGGTGGAAGAAAAAGGGCCAGGAAAAGAGAAGTGGTAAAGGATGTCACATACACACACGAGCGCGCGTGTGACTTCACCTCACCTCACCCCACCCCTCACCTCACCTCACCCCTCATCTCTGCCCTCGGGCCCGTAAGTCCAACTGGCCCGACCCGCGGCACTTGCCTTAGATTGGCGGCGATGTACGGCCGCAGGAAACGGCGCCGCGGCCCTGGCGGCGCCGCTGCCGCCGTACACTGGCCCTCTCCCGCTCCCGTCGCCAAACTGGGCCCCGCCATCATCCCCCGCCGAGGCAGCTGCAGGAAGGAGCTGAAGACCCTCTGGGAAGGGAGTTACGACATCCCGTACGACGTGCCGTACCACGGCATCCACGGGGCAGGTGAGCCGTACGTGACCAGCAGCTCCGGCGGAAATAGGTGCCAGCGTGGGTGTGGGTCGCTCCACGATGTCGCCTAGCAGCCCACTTATAGGAGCTGGTTGTGGTGGTTGTGGTGGTTGTGGTGGTTGTGGTGGTTGTGGTGGTTGGGGGGAGTGGGGAGCGGGTGGTGTGTGGGGTGGGGGCCCGGGGTGAGGGAAGGCGGGAGAGGGGGGGAGAGAGGATTACGCTAGCAACCATTGTGCTCGACATTCCTAGGAATGTTGAGGAGTTCGGCTCGGGAGGAAAACGTTGATGATGGCAGATGACGAGGGAAACGCTTTAGAGGACTTTTATCTTCTATTAAATAAGAAATCAAGTTTTAAATATCATAACCGCTAAGATACGGGCCCTCCCCGCCCTACCCGTCTACCCGTCTACCCAGACACATGCGGGTCCCCAGCGGTTGAAGTCACTGTCACCTGCCCCCATCAACGTTTCGCTAAGTCCCTTTCGAGCGGTTGAAGTCGCCGCAAGCTGCATTCGTTTAAAAAACGATGGCTAACCCTCATTCAGCAGCAACAGCGAACTCGCAAACTGCAACAAGCCGTAGAAGCAGCAAAACGGGACAGCAAAACAGCAGCAGCAGCAGCAGCAGCAGTCGCGACGGAGGTAACTGTTGTCAGCAACAACCGTCCACTAACCACCAACCACTAGACATTAACCGATAACACAAACCCACCCAGAATGCTATTCATCGGCTCGTCGTCCCGCGGTCTTGGTTGCCCCTGATTCATCCGTACAGTCGATGCTGACGTCATCGCCGGTTGCTTCTTAGGAGCGAAAGACCGAATGCTGCTAGTGCTGTCTCCATCAGCAGCTACAGCCGCTCCGAAACCCATTCCGCTTTTCATCCGCTGGGGTAATCCCAGGGTCGCCCCTACCCCTACCCCTGCCCCTGAAGCTGTAGCTATAGCTGGCCCTGTAGCTGTAGCTGCGGTAGCCGCAGCTAGGTTGCCTGCTGGTGGTGGTGGTGGTAGTGGTGGTGGTGATGTTACAGCTCCGGGGCCCATGTTGCTGCTACTGCTATTGCTGCTGCTGGCGGCGGCGGCGGCCGGCAGTCCGGCACTCGCGTCCAAGACCGGCGTGGCGGCAGGGAGTGCTACTACTCGGCGGGCAATCCGAGTTACCTTGGCCGCTGGGCGGCTGTTCTGAGCGAGGAACTCCTCCTGCAGCGGCAGCAGCAGCGGTAGCAGTAGCAGCAGTAGCACCAGCGGTAGCAGTGGCAGCAGGGGAGCAGCAAGCGGATCTCCGGCAATAGCGAAATACCCTAAGAAGATATCAGCGCCGCAACCACCAGGGCCCCACACAGGCGCCGCAGCAGCAGCAGCCGCAACGGAACGCACAGCAGCAGCAGTCGCAGCAACATATAGCTCCCGGGGTGAGGTGCACCGGAAGGGGAAATGCAAACATGGACTGAGCAGCAGTACAGCAGTAGGAATAGCAGTAGCAGCGGCAGCAGTGGCAGCAGCAGTAGCAGCAGCAGTAGTAGCAGAGGAGGTGGGAGCAACAGGAGAACTAGCAATGGCAAAAAGGCGTGTACGATTGAGATACGGCAATACGGCAAACCTGCATCATGAGCAGCTCCTCGTCCTCAGTCCACCCCGCCAGGTCCTCCTCGCCGCGGATACTGCCGCCGCCGCCGCCGCCGCCGCCGCCGCGGATACTGCCGCCGCCGCCGCCGCCGCCGCCGCCGCGACGGCAGCCGCTTTCTGGGAGCCCCTCCTGGCCACCTGGAGCCGCCGCCGCCACACGACCTGCATGTAGACCTGTAACCGTAGAGATAAGGACATACATACATATTTGCTAACTTGCCCCATTCTTTTTTCATCACGTCTTGCTTAATCCTTTCATACAGTACGATACCAATAGACTTTAATTAAATGTCGTACGGGTCCGGAATTTTAAAGTTCTCTAGCCAAGGGCTCCGGTGCGTGGTGCTTGGATTCGAGGATTCACATGTAGAGAGGTGTCACGCAGCGAACACTCAGGAAACGGGTTTTCACGTACTGCCTTGTCTGTACGACATCACTGCCTTTATTACCATGTGCAGTTGTGCATTTTACGTGAAATTTTCTTTCATGTGTCAAGAATTCTCAGATTGCATGCGCGGCTCGGAATACCTGATTGTGTTGCGGCTGTTCGTTGCATAGCTGCAGCGCCAAGGGTCGTCCTCGCTTGCTTTATGGGAGCTCCGGAACCGTTCCGGTGCGCAAGGCGGGTAACGTTGGCGGCGGGGCGCCGCTGGTGCGCGAGGAATTCCTCCTACACTTTGTAAATAATCGGCAATTGTCAACGTGCTTGAGGTTTTGCTTGGTTAGGCTGTAACCGGCATGTAACTGATTCCGGTCGTCGATCGAGTTCGCTTGCCTGCAAAGCCAACAGCTCTTCCTCGGAGCTTGCGGCCAGTTCCCGCCCACGAGGATTTTCTGTTTCCCCCTCCATAATGAAGCCAATAATATCGGATTACAGCAAGGAACTGCGTCGGCTGGGACGTAACGATGTGGCTAAGGTCCTCATGGACTGAAAGATGACATTCCTGACTGTGCTGTTTAAAACTAGACGCGTATTGAAATGATATGAAGCGGAGGGGCTGACCGATATGGCAATGCTCGTCCAGTTGTCGTTCTGTTTTCCACCTGTTTTCCGTCTATTGCACATGATAAGCCATGCAATGCAGTTTGACATTTACACTGCTGTTTTCTTAGTCACACTCAAGCGCGAGTGAGCGAAAAAGTCGCTTGCTAAGCGACCCTCCTACACCTGTAACGACTATGCAAGCATTGCAGCGGTCGGTGCCGAGCGCGCGTGCAGGTGCTCGCGCTGTGCGTCCTGCGCGTAAGATGGTGACTTGCACAGCTGCATCTCGCCCAAGTAAGTCTAGCAGAATGGGTCATGCGTTCGCGGTCGGGCTTGCATGCAGAGGCTCACGAGCCGCGGTTTCATATGCAGTCCCCCGAGCCACCAACGAACAGAAGCTTGACTTGCTAAAGAAAGTGGAATGCTTCATCTTCGACTGTGATGGTAAGTACGCAGTCCTCTCTATCCGTGCCGATCCACAATCTTGCACGAGCTCCAGATGTATCCTAGGTCTCGCGATGACACCTGTTGTGCGCAGGTGTGATCTGGCTGGGCGATAAGGTCATTGATGGGGTCCCGGAGACGCTTGACATGCTGCGCGGAATGGTAAGCGCGGTAGGGGGGTGAAGGCCAGGTTATACGGCAACCTCCCTGGATTTTGTTCCTGGCACTTTGGAGTCACTGCCTCTACTACGGAACGGAGTGGGGAAAAATACCTATCCCTGGAATATTCTCTTTCGTACAAATACGCGCACGCTCTCACACACACACAGACACACACACACGCTCACACACGCGCGCTCTTTCCCTCACACACACACACACACACGCTCACACACACACGCTCCCTCCCTCTCTCACACACACATACACACGCGAACTTACGCGCAAACACGCGAACACACTCTTACACACACAGGGCAAGAAGGTGTTCTTTGTGACCAACAACTCCACCAAGTCAAGGGCGGGCTACATGTCAAAGTTCCAATCTCTGGGCCTGGATGTCAAGGCGGTGAGGGCGGAAAGGGGGGAGGAAAGGGGCGCGGGGAAGGGCACGGGGAAAGTACAAAGAAAAAACCCGCCGCATGACCACACGCATATAGGAATCCCCTCAGCGACAGGAATCCCGGTCTCTGCGCGCTGCTTAACAAAATGGGTAGCCCGCTGGGTGGTAGCCCGCATGTAACAAAAACAACACAACAAAAAGCAGGGACAGGGGAACTGTTCTTACACAATAAATAGCGTGACATTTGTTTTTACCGTACGGTGTATGTGATGTCGAAAGAACAACGAGTGTTGTAGAGGCAGGTGGATAGAGGCGGTAAACATGACGGCTTCTGTAAACGAAGATTCTGGATTCTGGATCCTGCACGTGGCTTTGCGGCACCAGAACCCGAAACCCTCTGGACCTGCTCGCTACTACTCGGGGGGGGGGGGAGAAAGACACACTAGGTTTCGCAGACGTCCATGCAGCACGATGAGCTGATAGGCGGGAACAGGGTGGGGTTAGGGATGGTGACGTGGAATGTCATACTTGGGAAATGTCGTACGGAGTGAAAATGGGGGGGGGGGAGGAAGGAAATGTTCCTCGTAGGGTCAGGATGTCACGGTGACGTTGGCGGGTCGTTGATCGTACCCGTGCTCCGAACCCTGCCTAACCTGCTAGCCTCCCACCTTGCATGCTGTTTCCGTACGGTCTCGGGGCCCTGCAGGAGGAGATCTACTCATCGTCGTACGCCGCAGCAGCCTACCTGGAGTCCATCAACTTCCAGAAGAAGGTACGGGAAAGAAGCTATACACCCGGGCGGCTCCCCCTTCCCTCCTAGGGTCAGGTCACTGCTTGCGTGTTTGTGTGTTTGCAGTTTCGGGGAATGGAAATGACGTCGCAGTGTTTTCGGGAGGGGGGGACGCGGCGCCATAACCGGCACCATAACCGTCGGTTTCTGGGTTTTATCCCCCCCCGGGTTCCCCTCCCCCCCGCAAAACCCCGCGTGTGTGCCTCCAACCCCCGTCTGCAACCCTAAGCCCCGCCCCAACCCCACCCCACCATCCGCTCTTTTATCTCCCTCCCTACGATATGCTACCCTGTGGTGTGATGTGCCGTACATTGCGCCGTACCTGTCAGGTTTATGTGATCGGCGAGACGGGCATTCTTGAGGAGCTGGACATGAAGGGTATTCGTCACCTTGGCGGTCCCTCCGATGCGGACAAGAGGGTCACCTTGCGGAGTGGCGAGTTTATGGAACATGACCATGATGTGAGTGTACGGCGGTGTCGTGTGTGGGGGGGGGCGGGGGGGGGGTTTTAGAGGCCAGGGGCAGGTGTAGGGGGGCATAACCCTGAAACGGGCGGGGATACGGGCGGGATGTGGGGGGGATCCAAGCATGTCGTAAAACACACACGCACGCGCGCGCGCACAGGTACACACACGTAAAAACACGTACGCGTGTAAGTCGAGGTCACGGGCCGTTAACGGTCTTCTCCGCCGACCCACATCACCTCACCGGCCCCGAAACCTTCGCGCCGTTGACTCTCGACCCCCCCCCTTCCATGCCGGAAAACCCCCAACTGATCCAACCGCAGGTGGGTGCCGTGGTGGTTGGTTTCGACCGTTACATCAACTACTACAAGATCCAGTACGCCACGTTGTGCATTCGCGAGAACCCCGGCTGCCTCTTCATCGCCACCAATCGAGACGCAGTGACCCACCTGACGGATGCGCAAGAGTGGGCGGGTAGGTGGCAGGAAGAGGGGAGGTCGAGGTGGCAAGGGGGGGGGAGGTCGAGGTGGCAAGGGGGGGGGAGGTCGAGGTGGCAGGAGGGGGTGGTGGTGTACAAATGTACATGAGTGACTGGGGGTTGCCAACCAGTGGTTGAATCCTTAACCTCCTCATCCGAGCTCACGGCAGTCCCGCAAAGGAGGAAGGAAGGAAAGAAATAGGTTCTGCAGGCATGCGATCCGCGATTTTTTAAACGCTTTTTACACCATGAATGATACAGCGCATATGCCACTTTTGCATTTTGACTTATCAACCTCCATCCCGTCGTGAAATTCCCATCCATTCGACTTGTTCCCGGCTCTCCTTGGTGACCTTCTGCGGTGCGTACACGCGCATCACGAAGGCAATGGCTCGATGGTGGGTGCAATTGTGGGTTCCACCAAGCGCGAGCCGACTGTGGTAGGCAAGCCGTCTGACTTCATGTTGAAGAACATCTCCGCCAGTTTGGGGTTGCGACCCGACCAGATCTGCATGGTCGGCGACAGGCTGGACACGGACATCATGTTTGGCAAGAACGGCGGCCTCACCACCTCCCTGGTGCTGTCCGGTAAGTTGGCTGACTGGATGGATGGCTAGGGGGCTGGAGGTGGAGACGATGGCGGATGGCTGGCTGTATGGGCTGGTTGTGTGGGTGGCGTATGGGTTGGCTGTGTGGAGCTGTTTTGGGTGATTGTGCGATTTACGGTGGTCTTCCTTCACCTTCCATTCTTTCTGCCTCGCCAGCTACGTTTACCTGCCTTCCGCTCCTGCCTCTGCAAGCGCCCGGGTTGGCGGTAGAGCCTAAGTGTGTGTGAGTGAGTGTGTGAATGTGTGTGCGTGTGTACTCCTGTTTTTTCCCTTGTTAAGTGAACTCCCCTCCCGCTGCTGCTGCTGCTGCTGCTGCAGGTGTGACGACGGAGGAGGTGCTGAATTCTCCGGAGAACAAGGTCATTCCAGATTATGTCCTCTCGAAGCTTCCTGATCTGTTGACGGTTAAGGAGGTAGCTATGGTGGCCGCATGAGAGATGGTGGTGGTGATCTTGGGGGGAGGAAGAGGACGGGCCGAAGGAGAACGAACGGAATGTCTTCTCTCTCGTTGTGACGCGCGAAAGGGAGGAGATTTGATGAAGTGCCTGAGAGGGCGGTGACGTGGGGAGAAGTCAATCATGCGTTAAAATGTGTTATAACTACAAAAGCTAGAAGCGTTTCTTGCTACCTGCGGCCGTGGTGCTGGCCGTGTTATGACACTGTTTATTTCTCGGTGAAGCTTTACAGGAAGTTTTGTGGAGAAGTGTGCAGCTAATGTTGTTGTGGTTTTTAGCGGAGAGGGAGCTATGTCGTGTGCGTTCAGGGAAAAGAGAGGGGCATTGCTGCCGGAGCGTTGTATTACTAGAAAACCTGGCCGACATGTGTATCTGGCCGTCCCTTTGGGATCGGTGCGCGCTGATGCGATTTTCCTTTCCAAGGCATCACGCAGAGAGTTAATTTTTGGGTTGCGCGTAGGATATTGCTTTGTTGGATGTGGGTCGTGCATCTCGGGAGTTCTTTTACAAGACAAAGATCACGGAAACATACACATGTTTCCAGCACGCCGTAGCCATGCACGTAGTAAGGCTGCCTGGTTCGTTAAGCCTGTAAACACGACGCATCTACAATCAAGCGCGCATACTCGCACGCCCTTAAACGAAGAGGGATGCGTATGTGCGTGAGGCAACCCTTTCGAAAGGGGCAGACAGCCACAGTCGTACCCTTTCCACCCTCCATGACAGAAAGTTGTCCCGCCGGTCCGCCGAATATGATCCTCATAGCCTTGTCAAGTCCTCTGCGACTTGCGGATACGCCATGTGTCAAACTTTCATAGAGGCAATGCATTACACAGGCTTTGATGGCGGCAATCTGTTCTCTTGACGCCACGGGTCGTATCCAACTTCCTTCATCACAGTCCTCATCTCCATTTCGCCAGCCTTCTGTTCGATTAGGCGTGCGACATCCTCCACCGACAATTCCTTCGTTTGCACGCGCCGCTGTTCATTATCAGTAAAGGTTAAGTCCACGAAGGCGCGACCAGGAGGAGCATCCTCATCGACCTTGAACTCCACTACACAGGCGGGGTTGGACCGCTTAGCCCGGTTGCTGCTTACGCGCTGGAGCAGCTCCCGTGCGGACGCAGCTTTGGGATCCCCAGGGGTAAACTGAACAAAGACGCGCTTCAAGTGCTTTAGCATTCTTTCATTTCGTGTAAAAGACAATAAGAAGTATGCACTAAGGAAGTTTGTTAACTTATTACGTCCCTGTCCTTACACCGTGTGGAAACTTGACTCCGCAACGCTACGCGTTTCTGGTCCGTTAAATTCACTACGCAGTTAAGCCTTCGATATATGTTGCGCATCAAAGTCGAGCGGCATAAGGGCGAAGATAGTGGGCGACATACTGTACTGCAAAACTCCACTACGCAAAAGCGCGTGTTTTACCCGCATGGCATAAATGGTTACGGAAGAATAACATAGCTGTAACGCAAGGCTCACAGTATACCCATACATGAAGGACCCTTCCGATATGGCTGCAGCTGAACAACTGGAACCCAGCTGAGGACGTTCACCCAATTAGGTCAGATGGTTCACAATCCTGGCGTACTCTGGTACAGTAACATGTTACGTAGCAAGGCGTAAGCTCTTTTCGAAAGAAACGGTCAGCGTAGTCAGCGCGGCATGGACGACCCGGCGCTCCAAGACGCCGCGGCCGTGCGGGTCGCAGTCCGGTAAGAACCTGTTGCATGAATAACTCTTATCGCCTACTGCATCTTATCACCATGGCCTGGGTGACTCTTCAACTATCGCAGGGTGCGGCCCCTTATCACCCGCGAGCTCCTGCAAGGCAGTAAGACGTGCATCTCCACGGACGGTCCCTGCGTCACAATCGGCCGCGACCGTCGTTTTACCTTTGACCATGCTTTTGGCGCAAACACACAGCAGGTACGCCCCCCTCCCGATCCCCTCCCCTGCCTCGCCAGGCGCCGTGGGACCCTCTTCGGCCCCCTTCCTCCCCTTCCCGCCAATTACATTCGAGCACCAACAGCATCTTCATCCCTCGCCATACTGTGCGAAATTCCCCAGCCACAGAGTCATCGTGACTGATTTTCCTACGAATTTCCTTTAAACGGCGCGCGGGAAGGGGGCCCTCCCGCCCCCCAAATAACGTGGGGGGTTACTGGGAAGATCAAACGTGTATGGCCGGGTTTGGCCCGCCCAAGAGCGGCCCGCGGGTATTTTCTGTTCCCTATGACCTGTACGGCACTGTACGGCATCTTGAAGGTGCCGTTGGGTTTAAAAAGGACCCAAATAATCCAAAGAGTCCAGATGGAGTGGGGAAGAAAGGGGGGTATGGCATTGTATGGTCCAGGAAAGCGGGCTGTGAGGGCGGACGAGGGGTCCCTGGAGTCTCCAGTCTGGGGACAACCACTCTGAATTTGAGAAGCCGCCGCAGAAGCTCGGGGGGGTTCCGTTGCGGGTGCGTGGGGGGACGTTTGCTGGTGCGGCGGTGGAGCGGCTGTGGGAATCAACTCGGGGGAGGAGGGGTGGGGGGAGGCGGAATGAAAACAAGGATCGCACATACACACGCACACACACGCGCAAACATGCGTGGTTTATGAGCGACACGCGTCCAAGCGAGCCTACTCGTAATCTACTCTTGTGACGATCCCAACCAGATTTTGTGGATGTGGCCAAGCAAACCACTGCCTAATTCACCAAAGGCCTTTTCTGAGCTCCATCCATGCATGCGCATGTGAAATCCAAGTCAAATAAAATTTACGGTCCTAATCCAAGTGAATTTTTATTCCTGAAATAAGTCAAATTAATTTGAATTTTTTTCTAAGTCCGCCAAAATGACACAATCCATTTGGGTTTTTTTTCCATTCGGTCCCTGCGGCCGTCCAGCCTCATGCAACAATAAAGCGGCTTCCTGGCTCGAATTCCTCGCCCGAGCTGCTACACCGATATCCATACATACATACATCACAACACATCACAACACATTTTTGCTAATTGGATGTGGGAGTCGCCTTTTGTCTATTGCAGCCCGAAATGCCCAAAATTGCAACCAATATTTAGTTTTAATCAAATCAGCGGCATATCCCGAACCGTACAAACAAAACGCCGTACATTGCTTCAACCCATGCATTTTCTTAAGTAACAACAACCTTGACGACACCACCACCACGACCAATCACGACCAAATTGCCTCCCCATTTCCTCCCCCAGCACACATACACACGCACACACACACGCACGCACGATACGGTTATTCGTGCACCCACTTCGGCCTGTTCCCGTATCGCGGCTTAGATTAATTAAAAAGAACACGCACACGCACACACCCCTTTCCGGCCCCAGGAGGAGGTTTATCGGGAGCTTGTCGGTCCCGTGGTGGAGAATTGCTTTGATGGCTTCAACGTGACGGTGTTGGCGTACGGCCAAACCGGCAGCGGCAAGACCTTCACCATGGGTACGGGAGAGTACGGCGGTGGGGAGCACCAAATGGGGATTGCGCCACGGGTAATCAGGTGCGGTGTTGTTGTTGGGGGGGGGATGGAG